ACAGGAAAAGGGCTGGAAAAGGACAGGAAAGGGGCAAGAAAAGGGCTGGGAAAGGGACAGAAAAAGGGATGGAAAAAGGGACAGGAAAAGGAATAGGGAAAAGAGACAGGGAAGGGACAGGAAAAGAGATGGAAAAGCGAAGGAAAAGGGACAGGAAAAGGGCTGGAAAAGGGATGGGAAAAGGGTTGGAAAGAGATAGGAAAGGGACAGGAAAAGGGCTGGAAAAGGGACGGGAAAAGGGCTGGAAAAGGGACAGGAAATGGACGGAAAAGAGACAGAAAAGGGACAGGAAAAGGGCTGGAAAAGGGACAGGAAAAGGGACAGAAAAGGGACAGGAAATGGACGGAAAAGAGACAGGAAAAGGGCTGGAAAAGGGACAGGAAAGGGACAGGAAAAGGGCTGGAAAAGGGACAGGAAAAGGGCTGGAAAAGGGACAGGAAAAGAGTTGGGAAGAGATAGGAAAGGGACTGGAAAAGGGCTGGGAAAGGGATGGGAAAAGGAAAGAGAAGGAAGAGTAAAAGGAAAAGGAGGAGAAGGAAGAGGAAGAGAAGGAAAAGGGGGAAAGTGCCTGAAAAGGGAAAGAGGAAGAGGAGGAGGAAAAGAGGGAAAAGTCCCTAAAAGGAGGAAGAGGAAGAGGAGGAAAAAGTGAGGAAGAGGAGGAAAAAGTGAGGAAGAGGAGGAAGAAAAGAAGGAAAAGGGGGAAAGTCCCTAAAAGGAGGAAGAAGAGAAGGAAGAAGAAGGGCAGGAAAAGGGGAAAACCCCCTTGGAAGGGGGAAGAGGAAGAGGAGGAAGAGGAAGGAAAGGAAAAAAGGGAAAGTGCCTGAAAGGGGGAAGAGGAAAAGGAAGAGGAAGGGCAGGAAAAGGGGAAAAACCCCCTGAAAGGGGGAAGAGGAAGAGGAGGAAGGGCAGGAAAAGGGGGAAAGTCCCTAAAAGGAGGAAGAGGAAGAAGAGGAGGAAGAGAAAGGGCAGGAAAAGGGGAAAATCCCCTTGGAAGGGGGAAGAGGGAGAGGAAGGGCAGGAAAAGGGGGAAAGTCCCTAAAAGGAGGAAGAGGAGAAGGAAGAGGAAGAGCAGGAAAAGGGGAAAACCCCCTTGGAAGGGGGAAGAGGANGACTGGAAAAGGGATGGGAAAGGGACAGGAAAAGGGCTGGGAAAGGGACAGGAAAAGGGCTGGGGAAAAGGCTGGAAAAAGGACAGGAAAGGGACAGAAAAAGGGATGGGAAAAGGGTTGAAAAGACAGAAAATGGACAGAAAATGGACAGAAAAAGGGCTGGGAAAGGGACAGGAAAAGGGCCGGAAAAGAGTTGGGAAAAGGGACAGGAAAGGGCTGGGAAAAGGGACAAGAAAAAGGCTGGAAAAGAGACAGGGAAGGGACAGGAAAGGGCTGAAAAAGGACAGGAAAGGGGCCGGAAAAGGGATGGGAAATGGGACGGGAAAGGGGAAGAAGAGAAACAGGAGAAAGAGGCAAAGGAGGAGGAAGAGGAGGGAGAGGAAGAGGAGAAAGAAAAGGAAGAGGAGAAAGAGGAGGAGGAAGAGGAAGAAGAGATGGAAAAGGGGGAAAATGCCCAAAAAGGGGAAGAGGAGGAGGAGGAAGAGGAGGAAGAGGGGGAAAGTGCCTGAAAGGAGAAAGAGGAGGAGGAAGAGGAAGGGCAGGAAAAGGGGGAATGTGCCTGAAAGGGGGAAGAGGAAGAGGAAGAGAAGGGAAAGGAATAAAGCCCCTAAAAGGAGGAAGAGAAAGAGGAAAAGGAAGAGGAAGAGAAAGGGCAGGAAAAGGGGAAAAAAACCCTGAAAGGGGGAAGAAGAAGAGGAGGAAGAGGAAGAGCAGGAAAAAGGGGAAAGTCCCTAAAAGAGGGAAGAGGAAAAGGAGGAGGAAGGAAGGCAGGAAAAGGGGGAAAGTGTCTGAAAGGAGGAAAAGGAAGAGAAAGAGGAGAAGGAAAAGGGGAAAACCCCCCTGAAAGGGGGAAGAGGAAGAGGAGGAGGAGGGACAGGAAAAGGGGGAAAGTGCCTGAAAGAGGGAAGAGGAAGAGGAAGAGTAGAAGGAAAAGGGGAAAACCCCCCTGAAAGGGGGAAGAGGAAGAGGAAGAAGAGGAAGAACAGGAAAAGGGGGAAAGTCCCTAAAAGGGGGAAGAGGAAGTGGAAGAGGAAGGGCAGGAAAAGGGGAAACCCCCCTGAAAGGAGGAAGAGGAAGAGGAAGAAGGGCAGGAAAAGGGGGAAAGCCCCTAAAAGGAGAAAGAGGAAGAGGAGGAAGAGGAAGAGCAGGAAAAGGGGGAAATTCCCTAAAAGGGGGAAGAGGAAGGGGAAGAGGAAGAGGAAGAAGAAGGGCAGGAAAAGGGGAAAGTGCCTGAAAGGGGGAAGAGAAAGAAGAAGAGGAAGAGGAAGAAGGGCAGGAAAAGGGGAAAACCCCCTTGGAAGGGGGAAGAGGAAGAGGAGGAAGGGCAGGAAAAGGGGAAAACCCCCTTGGAAGGGGGAAGAGGAAG